TTACGAAACTTCTTTATCTGCTTAACCAAGGGGAGTCATTCACCAAGGTCAGTTTTTGTTATGGTTTCATGGATTCCAGTTTTGTTCATCTGAAACCGATATACATGCTTATGGAACAATTTATAGCGATATTGTTCCTCAATGCATTGTTATTACTGAAGTTATCATCTTCCATGCTTCTTGTGCAGGTTGAAGCAACAGAAGTTTTCTTTTCCGTTACAAAGCTTTTCCAATCTAAAGATACTGGTTTGAGGAGAATGGTGTACTTGATCATAAAGGAATTATCTCCATCAGCTGATGAGGTTCGCGGTCCATATATGGCTTAGAAGCGGTTTTCTACTCTTTACCGTTTGTATAACTTCTGATAAGTTGTTTGGCTGTCTCTATAGGTTATTATTGTAACAAGCTCCCTGATGAAAGACATGAACAGCAAGATTGATATGTATCGTGCAAATGCAATCCGTGTCCTATGCCGAATAATAGACGGATCCCTTCTTACACAAATTGAGCGTTACTTGAAACAAGCTATTGTGGATAAGAATCCTGTTGTTTCAAGTGCAGCTTTAGTCAGTGGCCTTCACTTGCTAAAGGTATCCTTTATACACCAAATATATTAGGCTGTTTCTTAGTTTAGCTTTAGACTGATTCACTTACATTGTTGTTTCCAGACAAACCCAGAAATTGTTAAAAGATGGAGCAACGAAGTTCAAGAAGCTGTCCAGTCCAGAGCAGCCCTTGTTCAGTTTCATGCCTTGGCTTTGCTGCATCAGGTACAATGCTTGATCTCGTATTACGAGAAAGTAATTTTTTTTCCTCTTTTCTGATCATGAGAATTTAGGTAAACGCTCATTGATAAGTAGCATGTATGACTAGAAATATAATTAAGCTTCTGTTGTTGCTTTGTAGTCATATACTTATATACAGTATGATCATTGCTGCAAACCTTTCAAGTGTTTATGTGGACACGTGTGCTTCATTTCCTAGCTACTCTTTCATGAGACCATGCCACAGATGTTGATTCGAAAACCTGAGCTGCTTATCTACCTATATGGTTCAGTTATATTAGGTCCGATTGACTACATATCATGTAACTCTGCTGTGGGGTCTTGTAGATCGTATAAGCTTAGCTACAGTTACATCGATGTAGATGTTTTTCAAACTAGATGTCTGCCTTCTTTACTATATGGTAATGAGAAGTGAGCTAACGAATGCTTACAATTATTAAATATTATGTCCAGATACGCCAAAATGACCGCTTGGCTGTTAGCAAGTTGGTTGGTACCTTGACCAGGGGAGCTGTCCGCTCTCCTTTGGCCCAGTGTCTCTTGATACGTTACACCAGTCAGGTTCGTCCTCTATAATCATGATAATGATATGTGGGTGAAATTTTTGGTTTGATCCAACTTTAGTTTTTACTATTTAGATAATCCGGGACATGGCCAACCACAGCCAGTCCGGGGAACGTCCGTTCTATGACTTTCTGGAGAGTTGTCTTCGCCACAAGGCAGAAATGGTGATCCTTGAGGCTGCCAGGGCTATCACTGAACTTGATGGTGTGACAAGCCGAGAATTAACTCCAGCAATTACTGTTCTCCAGCTATTCTTGAGTTCCCCTAAACCAGTGCTGAGATTTGCCGCTGTCCGGACTCTGAACCAGGTGTACACTTGTTTTCTTGGAAACATCTCATTTAAAAGTATTCACTTTATTCCTGGAAAACGCAGAAAGCCTGTTCCTGTGCTTTCCTAAAAAGCTTCGATATTGTCTTTAACTAGAGATACTGCACCAGTGACAGACAATGAAAAACTCTTCTCTTTATACACTGTATACTGAATGTTGGTCTGAAATACACAGGTTGCAATGACTCATCCCATGGCTGTCACCAACTGCAACATTGATATGGAGAGTTTAATTTCTGATCAAAATAGAAGTATTGCTACACTTGCTATCACCACACTCCTGAAAACAGGGAATGAATCTAGTGTGGAACGGTTGATGAAGCAGATAACTAATTTCATGTCAGATATCGCCGATGAGTTCAAAATTGTGGTCGTGGACGCCATAAGATCATTGTGTTTGAAATTTCCACTGAAGTATAGATCACTGTAAGTGAAATTTTAGGTTTTGTTATTGGTAGTTTTGGTCTGTAGAATTGCTATTTTTGCTGACGACTTCGCGATGTCAAGATTTTTATTGCATCATTGGGGCATTTGATAAATCTCCGTCACCCTTTTCATGTGTAGGATGAACTTCTTAAGCAACATTCTTAGGGAAGAAGGGGGATTCGAGTATAAAAGAGCAATTGTAGATTCTATTGTTACCATTATCAGAGATATTCCAGATGCAAAGGAAAATGGATTGCTCCATCTTTGCGAGTTCATTGAAGATTGTGAATTCACATACCTTTCAACACAGGTACTTTTTTGCCATCTAAAACCTGGGCTTGTAATTGGAGTTTACGTTTTCTTTGGTAACTAATTTTTTTTTTCTTGCATAGATTCTTCATTTCCTGGGAATTGAAGGGCCGAACACCTCAGATCCTAGCAAATATATCCGGTATATATATAACCGTGTGCACTTGGAGAATGCAACTGTACGAGCTGCTGCGGTTTGCACACTCGCAAAGTTTGGATTTATGGTTGAAGCTTTAAAGGTATACTAATCTCATTAAGCATTATTAATTTTTATTTCTTATTTATCATTCTTTTTTTATCACAAAGATAATTTGTTTAATGAATGTCTTGCAGCCCCGGATTACTGTCTTGTTGAAGCGTTGCATCTATGACAGCGATGACGAGGTATGTGCCTAGTCGTATTGTAAAGTTGCCTTGTAGTCATTTATTGCACTAGTAAATCTGTGGATATCTGTATGCCTCGTTGTGTACCGGTTGCATCAGTATGCATGGATTGCTCTATGTGCATGCACTTTTCTGCATTAGTATAACATTTTTTTTCCTGAGTTTCAACCTCTATTTTTTATCTTCAGGTTCGTGATAGAGCAACACTGTATTTGAGTATACTTGGTAACGATGGCCTTGTTGACACTGACAAAGATAGCAAAGAGTTTCTATTTGGTTCTCTGGAGGTACCTCTTGTCAACATGGAGACAAGTCTGAAAAACTACGTGAGCTTTCCATTTCTTTGTTTCGTCCCTTGGTCAACTCTTTGGAACGTCAGTTAGCTTATATCTTTGATTCTGCAGGAGCCTTCTGAAGAAGCTTTTGATGTTGACTCAGTGCCTAAAGAAGTCAAATCGCAGCCGCTTGCAGAGAAGAAAGCCAAGGGTAAAAAGCCTACTGGTCTCGGTGCTCCACCACCAGCACCTGTTTCTGGTTTTGATGCATATGAAAGACTTCTATCAGCCATCCCAGAGTTTGCTACCTTTGGCAAACTTTTCAAGGTTTGTACAAAACTTTCTGCACATCGCTTCTCTTATTCACTCATCCTGATTGGTTAAACATGTTCTTCTCAGTCTTCTTCACCTGTGGAGCTAACTGAAGCAGAAACAGAATACTCAGTCAATGTCGTAAAGCATATCTTCGAGAGTCACATTGTCTTTCAGTATAACTGCACAAACACAGTACCACAGCAATTATTGGAGAGGGTAAATAACGAGCATGATGATATATTACTGTGTAGCCACTGAAAGCCTTTTCTCCTTGACAATTCTTTTTCCTCCTCCCTTGTTTTGTAGGTCAATGTCATTGTAGATGCTTCAGAAGCCGAGGAGTTCAGTGAATTATCTTCAAAGGAACTAAACTCACTCCCATACGATTCCCCTGGTCAAGCCTTTGTGGCGTTTGAGAAACCAGAAGGTGTCCCCGCCGTTGGAAAGTTCTCAAACACACTGACTTTCATTGTTAAGGAGGTACGCACATGCTTCGTACGTTTTCACTTTCACTCGCTTTTAGTTGACTGACTGAGAAATCACATGGATATGGAACAGGTTGACCAAAACACAGGTGAACCAGAGGACGATGGTGTGGAAGATGAGTACCAGCTCGAGGACCTCGAGGTTGTCTCTGCTGACTACATGGTGAAAGTCGGTGTCTCCAATTTCAGGAACGCATGGGAAAACATGGACCCAGAGAACGAGCTTGTAGATGAGTATGGGCTTGGCCAAAGGGACAGCTTAGCGGAAGCTGTAAAAGCTGTAACCGATATTCTTGGCATGCAGTCTTGCGAGGTTAGGGGCGTCTAATACGTTTCTTACTATCGAAGCTCTCACATTGTCGTTCTCAACTCTGATATGCAATTTGTTTTCTTTTTTTTTGGTGTTTTGGGTTTAGGGGACGGAGACGGTTGCGAGCAACGCAAGGTCACACACATGTTTACTATCAGGTCTGTACATAGGGAACGTGAAAGTGTTGGTGAGGGCACAATTTGGAATGGACAGTACAAAGGAAATTGTGATGAAACTGGCTGTTAGAGCAGAGGATCGATCGGTGAGCGATGCGATTCACACAATTGTTGCCTGCGGCTAAACTTAAAAAGTGTTCTTGGTAGAGAGAAAGTTTATGAGAGTTTATAACTGTTTTCCCTCAGATTCGCAGGGAAATTTTCCCCTTTGTCTTTTGGTTTTTGATGGTGCTTCTTATTGTCATGGTCTTAAACATTTTTTTTTGGTGGGGATTTGCTACTTTTTTACCATTTAGTATAAATATTCTTTTGAGCATTTGAGGAATTAACCACACAAAATCCTTCTACCAACTAAGAACACCCATAGAATTAAGAAGTCTATCAATCTTTACTATGTTACCTAATAAGTTTTCTCATGTTCAATCAGTGTCAAGTGTTCAGTTAAATTAAGTCATTTGATCCTTAAAAAGCAACCTCTCTAGGGTTTTCTTTCTATTGATAAAATCTTTTTTAAACAAAGAGCAATGATGAATGTTTAATCATAAATTATTTTATAATAATTGGAGAAAAACAAAATCATTAGATGAATTGAAAGAAGGAAAAAAATAGAGAAGTATGAACTAAGACTATTATAAGGCAACATCTACATAATTCGCAAGGAATGAAAATGAAAGAAAAACGAAAAAGAGATGATGAAGATAGGCAAAGACAGAAAAGATGAGCATTCTGAGCAATTCTGATCCATTGCTTTGTCTGAAGTCACATATTTATTCATCACTCCTTTTATGCTTCCATCTCCAACTTCTCCAACCTCTCCTGCTCTTGGGTAGACGCAATTGTTATAACCTAAAAACAAGAGAAGCAGGTACAGAAAAGAAATGAATATTGGTGTGTGATTAGAAGTAATGTAGGAGACTTTCTTATAGCCTTAAAGTTAATTTACATATTTAAGCTAATCAACTTTAGAAATTGGAGATGAGTCATCGAACTCTTAGTGTAGGCCAATAACATGAAAAAAGACAGTTAATATCAAACTAATCTATATCTAACTTCTACTTAAACACAAGTTTAAGTTTATTAGTTTATATTAAGAAAAATATATCAAGTAAAAATAAGAACCTAGCTAGATAAAAACTTATATGAACATGTTGGACAATATATGCTTGTTGATGCGGAGTAAGTCAACCTAACCCCTAATGAATGGTTAGGTTTGTCCTGAACTATTGGTATATGATTATTGGATTTATGGTTTTTCGATTCGTTCTTTGAGTAGATCACATGTAGCAGAAAGAATCAAGAATTGATCGAACTAATCAATGCATATTGATTAGAATTTATCACTTTCTTGATCCACAAGAAAGAAAACTATAGTCACAGCCTCTTAGTAAGATTTTATTCCATTTCCACCAAATGAAAACTTATGATACAAACTCATGATTTTATAACAATTAAAGATATATGAAGAAGAGAATAACTTACTCGGGTTATCGGAAGTGATCCTCGCGGTTTGAGAGAAATCGCAATCCGTCGGGTTTTCAGGAGATTTCTGGAAATTGAGATTCATGGCATAGGCTGCATGAGAGGCGATATTATTAGGCTCGAAACACGCACCTCCTGGCATTATCGGACGACAGTCAATGCCCTGTCCGCAAACCCAATCTAGACTTGCTTGCAATTGCTCTTCAGTCGCATCCTCCTTTGGGACACACCAACCCGTAGATGTTGTTTCTTTGCCCAATGGTGGAGACTGTGACGCCTACTACCATCACAAATAGCATTCTCATTAGATATGGTTAAGTAAATTGGGTCAGCCCAGATACTTCTGAGGTCTTAAACCAAATTTGTAAACGGTCATTTTTCTTTTAATTTTTTTCGTAATCTACTATATACTTCTTACATTCAATATAAATGCATATTTTGATAAACTCAACAAAATAGCACCAGGAAAAGAGCTTTTTTTTTTCCTAACAACATGCATTACGTCGGATTTGAATTCGGATGATGACATAGCGGTGGCACTAAGTTGTGAGAAAGAACAACCGTGAAAAGTGTAATGACAACTAAAAACTAGGAAAACTAGGGAAACAGAAAATAAGCAATATGCAAAATTAAAAAAAAGGAGAATGTTGATAATTACGTATGAGTGATTTAAACGAGAGACTGAAGCATATGAATGGCACTAAACTATCATTACTTCCCAAAACGTGGCCTCAATATATGAATGATTTGATCGTCGAAATAATAAATATATATGAATAATTTAAATATGGCATAAAGCATAATGTTTTGTCATTTAAGGTTGGGCATGGTATATATTGAGGTAAGATCGTATATTCTTTACAAAGTATTTCATGTTATTTAATTTATAGCTAATTCCTATTAGGATTGGGATACATACTTGTATATATATAAATACTTTGCTTGGTGAATTTATACAATCAACACTTTTTTACAATTCATTACAAATGCCTTGTTTTATAACCTTAGAAACTAAATCAATTATTGATTACCTGACTACTAGTAGTTTTAGTGAGGCCAATGTCGTAAGCCATGGAAAGATCAGGCTTAAAAAGCCCAAAAGATCGCTCAAAGGAAGGTCCAGGCTTGAGATTCTCGTCGAAGAGAGCGAAAGTGTATGTGTCCACGGATTTTCCGGGCATGAGCGGAGTGCCAACCATGGACCTTAAGTGAGCAATGAGGTTTCCATTGTAAGCCTTTGCGTTTTCAACACTTGGACCAACCTCGTTGATATCACCACTCGTTGGCCAACCTGTTTCAGCCACGACCACTTCCACTTTCTCGAATCCCATCGATTTCAAAGCTGAGTGAACCGCATCAACCTAAGCAAAATCCCATGTTTTATTGGATCAGTATAAGAAACAAATGCTTCTTTGATCTTATTATAGTGACATTATTTGAGTTCTTGTAAGTGGAAATGCAGAGAGACACCAAGATCCTTGCTACAAAATCTATTGCGAATATTAATGTTAGATCAAAATTGATAGATAATTGAATTTCCAACGTTCAACTACCGAGTTTTCACATGATTTACAATCATTATATAATTACAATAAAGAATTGTAGATCTCGGTGTAAGTTGTAACAATAGATCATATTAAATGAACCATTGAGAATGAATAAACAATGCTTTGCTGTTAAATTTGATTAAATTAATTAATAGTATTGTCCTTGACCAAAAAATAATACTTAATTAATAGTCCTATATATCATGAAGTTTCAGCTTGGTTGTGATTTGTAAGATTAGATATAAAACAGTCCACCAAATTCAAAACCAAAGACTTAGCTACTTTGAGCAGGATTAAGAAAATAATTATAGCAAACTCATGTTATAAACCTTTTCTATATGATATTATATCAAACTAATTAATATTCCTCATTAATTAATTTTCTAATGACTCTTAGCCTCTAATTAATTACCTGAGCATCGAACATGTTCATGTACTTGATTCCGGTATTGGAGTCGACCCGTCCAGGGTTAGGCTGGAAGAGACAAAACGACAGCGTTTCAGGTCTCGGGTCGCTAAGGTACGCAAAGAACGGGTACGGGTTAATGACAAAAGACGACCCGGTATCGCTAAGAAACTGTAGAATGCCCTTTAAACCGGCCTGATAACTGGGAGCAAACAAACCAGCCGATGGCGGTTCAGATTGACCCAACACCGTCATCGCATGAACCGTAGACACCTTGATTTTCCCGCCGAGCGAAACCGCCTCGAGGGCCTTATGGACATTTTGCATCGCCGGGAGAAGCTGGTTTACCAGATTCAGATCATTCGACAATAAAATCTGCATTAATTGCGAAGGTTTAAAGGGGGTATTGGGAGTTAAATTTATGAAGATTCTATTTGATTTTAAAAATCATGAGATCTATAAGAGTTTTGTTGGATTTATAAAATTTAGAGAGAGTTCTATGGATTTAAACAATTTATTAAGAATTTTTTAATATGACAGATTTTAAAAATTCAAGGGATATAGGTAGTATTTTTGAGAATCATGATTTATGAATTAAATTATAAAGAATCATTATGCCAATAATACTAGATTATAACAGAATCATAGAATCATTAAAATGCAGATTTTTTGAATAATAATAGATTTTGATTAGATTATAAAAATCATCATATCAATAACAACTGATTTTTATAATCTCTAAATGAATAACAGAGGAATCTATTAAGAATGTAAAAATCCACAAACCAATAATTATAGAATCTTAAACTCTAAAAATCTTTATAAATCAACTCTTCAATAACATCCCCAAAGATTTTCTCGAGAAGTTTGATAAAAAAAAAAAAAGATTTTCTCAAGAAAATAAAAGAAATTATTGTTTTTTAATAATCGGAGTCATCTTAGACCAAAAATGACATTTAAAGAAAGTTTTGTGTGTTTTCAATAACCGGAGTCATCTTAGACCAAAAATGACATTAAACCGGTCTGGACCTTTGGTCCCTAATCTTTCCGGTACACCGGAGTCAAGATTTTAGATATTCTTGAAGCTTAAGTTGTGGCATTGACCTCGTTGCCGACATTGATGAGGATGATTTTGGAGGCAGGATAAAAAGGGAGGACATTGACATCGATCCATTGAGAAGCGACGTTGACGTCGGAGGCGAGAGAAGGAAGATCGCCGTTGGCTACTCCGATGACGATTTCGACGCCGGTTCCGGCCAAAGATTTGATGATGGTGGGATCAGCGCCGTATAGCCTTACTTTTTGAATGGAGGTGGATTGGAGGAGTTTGGCCGTGTCAGATGGTGGCGGGAGGTTGTCGGCGAGCAAGCCGTAGTTTACTCCGATGTATGATTGTGCATTTCCCGACGAAACAGAGAAGAGAATGAGGAGGAGAAAGAAGAAGATGGAGAGAGCCATGGAAGCATAGGAATGTGGAAGAAATGACATAGCCAAACTCTTTATCATTTTATTTGAAAAATAACGGAGGATAAAATTGTCATATATTATCGTATGTTTTTTTTTTCTTTCAAAACATTATACATAGTTAATCAAAAAGGTATTCACTATATCACGTTATTTTACATTAAACTATAATATAAAAAGCACTAGTTATTAGAAATTGTGCCACCATGTCATTTAAAAAAAAAATTACTTGTGAAAAGATGTTCTACACCTAATTAGTTGTATTGCGTGAATAGCGAGAAGCTGGTTTTTACAGAATCCCAAAGCTCACATGTGCTGGTTTTACGACAACGCACGTGCTGACTTCTTTGCTTGGATCTCTATGTCTCTTAACGATATTATTAAAGGATATGTAACTGAATTTTTTAAGGTTTTTTATAATATTTGAATTCGTCAGAACTGACATGTGTATTTTCAAAAAATATTCAAAATCTTTGCTGCGATAGGATATAATACTATACTCTATTGATGGCCGTGGTAAAATATAGCAAACAAAATAATATTATGGGATTTACAAAGACTACTTGAAACAAGAGGCTTTTCATTAAAAGGGATATATATGGCTAACGAAAATGTTGCAGAAGATTTTTTTTTCCTAACGATGATCTTATAAATTTGAATGAGAATCCTACGAGGATAGCATTTATGTGTCTTTAAAAAATGAAGAAAGAGCTCCATGGAGATGTTACTCTCAAAAATGAAAATTTTGTGCGTATTTCATGATTTCTTATATATCTAGATGTCCCTTTATTTTCACTTCTAAGTTCTCACTTGTAAGAGTTTTATGCGAAAGCGTTTAAATCGAAAATATATGTTTGCCCAATTTAGCGATGAATATAATTCGATATGATCTGAAAACGGATGCAGAGATCGGGGAAGAGATCACAGATGGATATCAACCACTTATCACCGTTCAAATGCCCTTCCAATTGATCTCTCCAAGCTTTTCCTCTCTAAAACGTTTTCTCTCTCCTCTGTAATTTCTTTGTTTACCAACAGTCACAAACTGTTGTAAACCAACACAACATTCTCTCTGCAATGTCTCATATATATACATATTGAAGAGACACAATTTGAAGAGTCACAACTCTTCATATATGGAAGTTATAAGAACCAATTTCTCATAACTACTGGTTTAATCAAACCAGTTTGGTATGCTGCCAAATCATGGGCGCAAACCGACTATAAACCAATATCTCCCACTCGCACATGATAGGGAGCATAATAAGCATTGAAGAAGTATTAGAGACTAAGCTTGAGAATCGTAAATTGGAAATCATACGGCAAATGAACTGTGCGACCCTTGCGAATACACCTACACTTGGGAGCTAAAATATGCACCTGTTAGGGATACATACAAGCTACAACCCTAAAAAAAAATTTGAATTTCAGCATGTCTCGCTGTTCCCCAAACTCATTTGTCTTTTATATCAGCCATAACATATCTTATCCCTAAAACATATGTTGGACATTTTCTTACATCATGTGTTCACTATATACAAACTCCAATTGAGTGATATAGTGGCTGGCCAGCAAACACATATGTCAATATAAAAGCAAATAGTTTTCCCTTCCTTTCTCATGTCTATCGGATCTGAACTAACTGCTTTCCTAGCATGTTTCATAAGGCTAATTATTTCATCACCGTCGAAAAACATACTAAAGTAGCAAACATTAGCTCATCCCTTCAAAACATAGCCGAAGGTTCAAGGGTAACTTTGGAACCATAAATAGGTTAATAGGAACTCACATTGCAAGAGATAGGGATTATAAAAAAAAAATATCACTTGCTTCCTATATGGTCGTATTAGCACATGTGGTATGACTCACATGCTATAGCGATTACCTCTTCTTTTGAGTATTGTCCTTTTGGATAAACCAAGCACCACTATATGGATCAAGCTACTACCAGCTCGCTTTCTAGCGCCTGATTATGTACTTATCCAGCTATGCCAAGTATTTATGATTTTGGGACAATCATGATCGATATTTAAAAAAAAATATCTCATCTTAACTTCTTATTAAGGCGACATTGATAAGTTATATAAAGCAAGCTCCCACTAGCGCCAAACTCATCACGTCTCATCTTAGCCTTTCACAAAGAAATCTAAGGCGATTGTTCATGTGAGTGAACCAATCTCTAACTTGGGGACACTTCTCAAAATTTATATGTAAGTATGCAAACTAAAAGAGACCATTGTAAAATGTTTGAAATATTCTTAGATATGTATTAAAAATCAAACATAAATACAATGTCAAATAACTAAGCTCCATTAGTACATACATCAAACTCTACGCAAACCTAACGCTCGAACATGTGCAAGGAACACATCTCTAGGAATGGGCTTAGTAAATGGATCAGCGACCATCTTATGCGTAGATATGTACTTAAGGACCACTTCTTTCTTTGCCACAATGTCTCTAACGAAATTATTCTTAATTTCAATGTGTTTTGTCCTTCCATGATACTTGGGGTCCTTCATGTAAGCGATACAAGCTTGACTATCACAATGGATAGTCACAGGACACGAAGCCTCTCTTGTGACTTGTAAGCTCTCTAAGAACCTCCTTAGCCATACAGCCTCTTGAACTGATGCTGAACATGCAATGAACTCAGCTTCCATCGTGGATAATGCTGTACAAGACTGCTTTTTGCTACTCCAAGTAATAGCACCATCACTGAGTAAGAAATCATATCCTGAAGTTGACCTAGGCTCATCCAGATCGCCAGCCCAATCGGCATCTGTATAACCCGTCAAGCGTAAATCACTTCCTTGATAACACAAGGAATAGTCCATTGTCCCCTTCAAGTATCTGAGGATCCTCTTCACTGCCATCCAGTGTTTCTTCCCGGGATTTGATTGGTAACGACTTACCAAACCAACCGAATAACAAATATCCGGCCGGGTGCACATCATGGCATACATCAAACTACCTATAGCACTAGAGTATGGGACTCCTTCCATCTCTCTTTTCTCATCATCGGTCTTAGGGCACATATTACGGCTTAGGCCTTCACCTTTTGTGATTGGGGTTTCAATGGGATTACAGTCAAGCATCTTAAACCTTTCAAGGATTGTTCGAATGTAAGACTCTTGTGAAAGAGCCAGTAATTTCCTTGAACGGTCTCGGTGTATCTTAACACCAAGTATGTAATCAGCTTCTCCCATATCCTTCATCTCGAAATGAGATGATAACCATTGCTTAACGGTTATTAGAAACTCCATATCATTTCCAGCTAATAAGATGTCGTCAACATAAAGAGATAGAATTACAAAGGATTGTCCAGTACCCTTGACGTAGACACAATGGTCTTCACTAATCATCGTAAACTCATAAGATGTTATAGCTTGATGAAAACGAAGATGCCATTGCCTAGAAGATTGTTTTAGGCCATATATTGAACGTCTGAGCTTACAAACTTTGTGCTCCTGGCCTTTTACAACAAACCCAGCAGGTTGTTGCATGTAAATATCTTCTTCTAATTCCCCGTTAAGAAACGTAGTCTTAACGTCCATCTGATGTAATTCTAAGTCTAGTCCGGCAACTATAGCTAGAATAAGGCGAATTGAGGCAAACCTCACCACAGGTGAAAACGTTTCCTCATAATCTATACCCTCCTGTTGGGTATATCCTTTCGCTACTAGGCGAGCCTTGTACCTATCTATGGATCCATCCGCCTTACGTTTGATCTTGAAAACCCATTTGTTTCCGATTGCTCGACGTTCAGGCGGAAGATCAACCAAGTCCCAGACATGGTTAACTTTCATAGATTCTAATTCTTCTCCTATTGCACTATTCCATTCAACTGAGTTTGGGCAAGAGAGAGCTTCTTGAACTGATCTAGGCTCTTGATTATCATGTAGAGCAACCATAAAAGCTTCCCCTTCAATCTCAAAACAACATCTAGGAACTTTTCCACGGTTACTTCTACGTAGCTCAGACTCTTGTGCTTCCTCCATAGAGGAATCACCAACCAATGTCTCTCTCCCACTAAGTTGTGATAGTTCATGTGGAATTTCATCAACTTCCATGAATTGGTTAGTAGAAGGAACACTAGTTGTCTCTACTATCTCTTCGAGATGGAGTCCTTTATCAACCTCTCCCCTTCTAGGAAAATCATTTTCCAAGAACGTGACATCTCGTGATTCGATTTCTGTTACACTTCCATCTGATTGTTCCCCGATAAGGACATAACCTTTAGAATGCTCAGAGTATCTTATGAAGATACACTTCTTCCTCTAGGACCCAATTTTCCATGAGGATGAAAAATATCGCGAACAAATGCTGCAGACCCCAAGGTCTCAGATGCATTAGGTCGGGTTTTCTTTCCGTCCATAATTCATAAGGAGTAGTAGTAACAGATTTGGAGGACTCAAGGTTAAGTATATAGGCAGCAGTCAGTAATGCATCCCCCCAATATGAAATTGGAAGGTTAGCCTGCGCCATCATAGACCTAACCATTTCAAGAAGAGTTCGATTTCTTCTTTCCGCTACACCATTTTGCTGTGGTGTATAAGGGGTAGTCAATTGTCTGACTAGGGCTGGGCAATAAAACCGAAACCGAAATATTCAACCGAACCGAACCAAATTTTTTCGGTTCGGTTCGGGTTCGGTTGTCGCTAAAATCCGAATGGTTTTTAAAGCTGGTAATTTTCGGTTTTCGGTTCGGATCGGTTATTATACTGATAACCGAAATAAACCGAATTAATTAAAACCTAAAATTAAACCGAAATAAACCAAATAATCTCAAGCCCTAAATTATCCTAAGCCCACCGATACTTCATCTTCCCCTTTCTGCAACTTCAATCGACAAAATCTCTACTCTCAAACTGGAATCCCGAAACCGAGCTGGTCCTTTGCCTTCTGAGACGTCGAGAAATCGATCTCAGGTAAGTTTTAATTTAAGCTTTGTTTATGTGCTTTATGATGAGTTTGAATCGATTTTTTTTTGT